TTTCCGTGCTTCCTCGATGATGTGAAAAGATGGTGGAAATAACATTATTATTTATTAAGTTGCACAATAGTGTTATCAGCTTGTTATTTAACGAACTTCTACGAAACTCATCCGTTATTATTATTATTATTATGTTCATAGGTCAGTTTTATCCATATTTGCTCTCGACTAAATCTCCATTTACTCCACGTTAAACCCGCACAAAATTCGTTGGGGAAAAATTCCCAATTACAATAATAATAGAGATAATTTTTTCATGCAATATTTTCTCCTGTAAAAATGCCTCATGCAATAATTCTTTCCCAGAACCATGGGATAAACTTGTTTTGGACAGCATAATCTCTCCGAAAATCCCATAGTTACCTAAAAGAATATTTAACAAATATAACAGAAAATATTTCCATAGTTTGTTTTGTCAATTTTTCTTTCCAAAGTAATTATTTGCCAAGTAATTTTTTTCAAAATGATTAGTTCAGAAGGAATTTTTTCCAAAGGAATTTTAGGCGGACACCGTTAAACTCGGGTTAAATCTGGTTTATATCCTAACCAACTCACGTTTAAGCCTTGGTGAAATCCTGATTAACATTGAATAAAACCCTCATTAAACTTCGAACTAACCTGCAAATTTAAATTGGTGTTAAATGTTGACCAAATTTCGATTTACTCGGAACTAAACTCGTAACTAGATGATGTCCGTATGTACAGGGTGTCCCATGGGAATGTGTGAAAACTGTTTGATTATTTTTTTTTACTGGAAACAGGGAAAAAGAGAAGGAATACAGTTCCTGATACAGGAGAGTTGTCATTTTTATTTCACCGTATACTCATTATTGAAACATGTAATTCACCCAACAAAAATAGTAGCTTACAAAAATTGTACGTGACAACTGCGATTAATAGTAAATGTTTTCGAAATGAGAGCCATCAACACGGGCGCAATAATCCAAACGTTTCCTAAAACCGTGGAATACACGTTCTAATGTTTCCTGTGGAATACCGTGAACAGTCTTTTTAATGTTGTTTATCAGATTTTTGATTATTTTTGGCTTGCTTGCGTAACAAGAATCTTTTATGTAACCCCACAGGAAATTATCACACGGATTCAAATCTAGTGAATAGGGTGGCCAATCTATTCCCCCTTCACAAAATTTTGGATATACCAAACCAAGAACTCGACCGCGATAAACTGTATTAAGAATTTCAAAAACTTCGTGAGTACGGTGGGGAGCTGCTTCATCCTGCATAAAATAAAACCCATTGACAAGCCCTCTTTTTCTCGCATGAGGGAAGAATTTGGTTTCTAACATTCTTTTGTACTCATTCCCGGTAACGGTAGATTCGAAAAAATGTAGAGACATCCTTCATGGAGAGAGCAGCCCAAACAGTGACTTTCTGTGGATGAGCAGATTTCGTAACCAAAAAATTAGGTTTTTCAGATCCCCAAAATCTGAAATTATTTTTGTTCACGTAGTTGTCTAGCCAAAAGTGTGCCTTGTCAAAAAAAACAATTGCTGTTTCATGTAGCTCGCCATTTTCGAACATTTGTGTCATTCTTTCACAAAATTCCTTTCGTCTCAAAATCGCCAACTCTGTCAAACGCTGACACATCAATATTTTATATGGATCAAGTTTAAAAAAAACGTGGAGGATGCGATGCAACGTTGATTTGCTCAATTTTAAATCTTGAGCGGCTCTTCGAATGGACGAGTTGGGTTACGATCATTCAAAGTGCCGTATTCCTCGAAATTTTCAATCATTCTAGAAAAAGAATATTATCATGCCTAGAAACCAACGGGATTTCTACGAAAATCTGCAATGTGTTTTGTTGTGTCACACAATCAATATGAAAGAAAATGTATTCTAACCTCCTCAAAGTGGTTTCGCTAGCAACTCGTTTGGATCCAATTTTAGTACGAAACCCCTAAAAGCTTCAAAGTATTTTTTCCTTCTCGAATAGAAGCACTCGATGAGATATCTTTTTTCTTGAATTGTCAAATCACTCATTACTGCTAACAAACTAAGGCTGCTGCCACAGTTGGAATAAAACTGACTAGCGCCTAGTAAATGTAACACAAACGTAGAGCGTCAAGGTTATTTTGGATGAGTCGGCAGATGAGTTTAGTTTTCACACATTCCTATGGGACACCCTGTATGTGAGCGATCCTACAGTGGGGGACAGAAGTTCTCAAAAAAATGACGACTTGAATCGCAAATTTTTTTAAATGTAGTTTTTTTCTATCAACTTTTAACTTCCCGACCCAAAGGGAGAAAGTTATTGTAATAACCCCGAAAATCGAATGTGGAATTTCGATTATTTCTCCATATTTCTCAACCTCCGGAATCATCCTGATACATTTTTGAAGACGTTTGTTTTTTGTTTTTTTTTTAGAGGTTTAGGGAAAATCTAAAAGATTCTGGTAAAGTGATGTTGAAAACCAGATCTGGGATTTTTACCCAGTAAAATCCCCGTTTTCTTCTGTTTACCTCGAATCGTCCATACCCAAATCCCTCGCGGCACGACCGTTAAGTATTACTTCGCGAGGGAGGTCTCAGCTGTTTGCTCTTCCACCTTCGTCTTATGTACGTCCCCCTAACCTGCAAAGATGTGTGTGATTAGGAGGTTCCAAAAAGATTTCTCACCTCAACTGAAGCCTTGCGCTTTCGTTCCTCGTTCCTTAGCTCCTTCATGACTTCCGCCGCGAAGTTGCTCGTTACGTCCCAGGCTGCCTGCGATGACAGCATAGCTTCCACCAGGTTCTCAGGCCAGACTTCCCTTTCCAGGGCTGATTTCCAGGTACGCCTGCTCTCACTGAAACGGGGGCAAAAACACATGCTCCGAATGTTCGTCATATTCTGTGCAGACCGGGCACTGCGCGGAATCCTCATGTTTCAATTTATGAAGATAAGCCCGGAAATACCCAACAGCATCTGTGTGAGATAATAATTGACCTCTCCATGATTACGGTTCAGCCAGACATCCACCTTCGGTATCAGACGGTGGGTCCATTTCCTTTTGGTAGAGTTCTCCCATTTCAGCTGCCACCGCCTCAAGCTGTTTCGCCTCTCTTCGGACGTCAACTCCTCGGGACTCAACGCTTCGGATCCCTTACGCTTATACAGGGCTTTCCGCTCCTCAGCCAGTACTTCTATCGGCAACATTCCTGCGATGACACACACTGCGTCCTCAGAAACCGTCTGGTATGCGACTCTAAGGGCACTGAGTCGATAGACTGGTGCGATCTTACGTCGCGCTTCCTGCAGCTGGAGTAGATCCCCCCAAATGGAAATAGCATATGTGAGCACCGAGGTTATCACTGAAGACAACAGCGCTCTTCTTCTTTGCTTGGGTCCCCCGATGTTGGGCATGAGACGTGATAAGGTGGATCTAACGTCAGATGCCTTGGCACCCACGTGCTCCGCTTCCTGCTTGAAACTGAGTCGGGCATCGATCATCACCCCCAAATATCGGATGAATGGTTGGGAAGTAATTCCACAAGATCCGACCTGCAGCGTGATGGCCTCTATTTTCTTCCCGCTTGTGATCAGCACGGCTTCCGTCTTATGCTCCGCCAGGCCCAAGCTTACAGTGTCCATCCAGCGGCGGATCGTCTCAAACGTTCTGTCAAAGATGAAATTGATCTCTTTCAGGTATTTCTCCACGATGAATATCGCCACGTCGTCTGCAAATGCCATTAGTTTACTTTCCCGCGGCAATTCCAGCTTCAGCAGCCCATCATACATGATATTCCACAGCAGGGAACCTAGTACTGAGCCTTGAGATACACCTCCGGTGACTCTGTACTCCTTGGGGCCACACTCCGTATCGTACTTAAGAACTCTTTCAGTGAAATAGCTGCCGACTATTCTGTGTAAGTACCGTGGTACGTTGAACTTCGCAAGAGCCTCCATGATACGGTCCGACCTGGCCGAGTTGAAAGCGTTCTTGATGTCTAATGTCGCCACTAGACAATACTTCTTCGTGCCATTCAGCCATCTTTCTCCTGCGATCGCGTCCCTGGCGGTGTTCACGACGAGGCTGATAGCGTCTAGAGTGGATCGACCTTTCCGGAACCCATATTGGTTGTCGGCCCATAGGGGTTCGACTGCTGCTTCTATTCGTTGATGGATGATACGCTCGAGAATCTTGCCAGCGGTATCGAGCATGCAGAGTGGACGGTATGATGAAGGGTCGTCCGGCGGTTTTTTCCCTTTCGGGAGTAGTACTAGTCTCTGCTTCTTCCACGTGGCAGGAAAAGTGCCTTCCCTTAGGCACTCGTTGTATACATCCAAGAACAGCTCCGGTATCGTGTGAATAGCTGACTTCAGTGCGATATTAGGGATTCCATCGAGACCAGGGGCCTTGGTGTTTCCCACTCTATTGCAAGCTTCCATCAACTCTTCTTTTGGTCGCTAGCGGTGTAGATATCAGCTACTCTCCATGAGCAGTTCCCTTTGCAAGAGTGCTGCTCACGAAGGTAAGGTCCACAATTGAGCTTGCCTCTCTTCTCGTGAAGGTCGGTTCGTCACCACTGTTAAGCAGAACTACGTCCAACGCTGCGATGGCTTCTACTAAGACTTGCCCTCTGAGATTTGTCTCCTTACTTCCCCAATCGACAGCCCAAGCGTTGAAGTGCCCGGCTATTGGCACGGGAAAGTGCTGCTTCGCATCCTCAGTAAGTCTATCTAGGAAGTCCGTGAATTCGCCCATGGAAAGGCTCGGTGGAGCGTAGCAGCTGTAGAAATAAATTCCGTCAACCTTAGCCATTACGAAGTCATTTTGCATACTACCACTGATCGTGCTCTGGAATGACCGACTCCCACAGGCCCAAATTACAGCCTTTCTGCTGGCATCAGTAATCCAGGATTGAGTACCAAGATGTCGATGTTGCTCCGAGATGATGACAAGGTCAGGCTTCAGCTTCTGCACAGTTTGCATGAGCAAATCGTGTGCGTCCCCCCAGTGGTTAAGGTTGAGCTGTAGCACCTTGTCGCTCACTCGTTTATGATTGCCTTTTATTACTGAGCTTCTGGAATGCCTCCTTATATGCTGGGCATCTACCGCTACCAGCAATGTGGGCACAATTCTCTGAATTGTCATTCTCAGTGCACAGGGCATACCATGGCTCCTTCTTGCAATCCTTTGCTTTGTGACCATCCTCTGCACACTTCACGCAAAGTTTTGATCGGTTGACTGTACTCCTACATTTCGTGGCGAGGTGACCATAGTGCCAGTACTTGAAGCACTTTATTGGTCTCTCCACTCTCCTGATACGGCAGTTGACCCAGCCTATCCTAATCTTACCGTGCTCTCCCAGGATCTTTTTCGCGGTAGTTGCTGCAAGTGTCACTGAGGCAGTCAGGGTTCCTCCATATGCGTTACGCAAAGACTTGATGGCCTCAGGAGCTATTACATACTCCTCCCCAGCTGCTTTTTGCAGAGCTTCAAGGATGTCCTTCTTCGTAGCATCCTCGTCAAGATCTTTAATCTCGAGGTCTTCTAGTGGCCCCTTACTGAGCACCTCTGCTTCCTCTCCGAGGAGACCGGCGATGCCTGATCTCAACTGGGGGGCTCCATCAATTGTTTTCCTACTCAGAATAATCAGCATGTCCCCAGTTGCTATACGTCAGATCCTATCGATGCATTCACTGGCCTGATTGCAGGTTTCATCTTTCTTCACCTTGTTGAGAATGTCCGCATACTTCCCCTTGTCTCTAGGGCGGACAATCAGCGTGTTCGGGCTAGCTGCTGGCTTCCATGCCGCCTTCTTTCCCTTCTTCTGGGCTCTTTTGTCCCGCTTCCCTTTTACCTTCGTCCAGTCCAGCGTTTTGGCAGGCGGCTCGGGGGATGGCAAATCCTTTACCGTCGATGCCTGCTGCTTCGGCTTCTTCAGGTCGCGAGTTTCCGTCCCCAGTGAGTTTTTTAGGTTGCGTTTCCTTCGCTTGCCTTTCCGAATTTCACGACCAGTCTCTTCTACTTCGAAGTCTTTCACTGTCGTTTCGGAGTAGTTCCGGTACGCGAAGTTTCTAGAGGTGCTTGCACCCCCACTTGCAACTACTCAGTATTGGGCCTTTGATCCCTTGCCCATGCCTCTTCACGGCGCCGGAGCTTCGCGAAATCACCGACGACCGTGTACATCCTGGTTTTAATTTCCTTATGGAGGTTTGGCCTTCCCTGTATGAATGAGTTCAAATTCATGAGGCGCTTCTCAAGTTGCTCCCATTCACGGATTCGTTCCTTCTCGAGTTGGGCCTGAGGCCCTTCTCCCCTTGTAGCATGTGAGGCCAAGGAGTCCACCTTTGAGGAATGTGATGATTGGCTCCTCCCACAATCCATGGAGCCAGCATCAGAAGAACTGATGGCGGGATTTACCTTAATAGGGATGCCCGCATGGGAACTTTCAATTTAGTCATCACTCATCATTTTTCTACTAGCTGTTATCGGGAGCCTGACCCGGGGGTGTTTCAGGGAGCCTACCCTGCACACCTCTTTTAGAGTTGGGTTTCTCGGAAGGTGTTGGTTAGCGCCGACGTATTTTATTTAGTCGATACCCTATATTCCCCCATTCACCACCTGGGGACGCGCCACGTGGCAGGACCTTCCAGCCTGCGAAAACTCTCGGAGGGTAAAGGCGTTCCTCGCCGAAAGGATCCCTGGTGAAGACATGTCTGTAGTGTGTGTGTGTGTGTGTGTACGTATGTGACCAAAATTTTGTCCAACGATATCTCCTGAACGAATGAAGCGATTGATTTTTTTCTTCCTTCAAACGATGCGTGTTCATGTAACTTAGAACTGATTAGTTTATGAAAACAATTGACTCAGTGGTTTTTTATTTATCAGCATAAAACTTGTAAAAAAATGCCAAAAAGCGGTAATTTCATAGAAATTCGACCATTTTGCCTAAGGTAACGATGGGATTTGAATTAATTTTGTTTAATCGATGCGTCTCCATATAACTTGATTCTCATTGGATTTTGAGCGAAATCGCCTCAGTGATTGTTGAGTTTTTTAAATAAAACTTTCGAATTTTGCAATTAAAAAAAAAAGGAAAGTTGGAAAATTTTAGAGTGGATTAACTTAGAAGTTACAAAAATTTGAAGTGGGTCAACTTTGAAGTTGGAAAATTTTTGAAGTGGGTCAAACTTTGAAGTTGCAAATTTTCAAGTACGTCAGCTTCGGAGTTGAGAGAATTTTGAAGTGGGTCAAGTAAAGTGGGTTTAACTCCTCACGTACGGGGCCTTTCTGATACTAAGTTTACTACATGCTCAATACTCTTCGCATCCCACATTTTCTGATGAATGAAAAATTATAAATAAAATATATAATTGAAGCTACAGTATTCACCTTCCCAATGGTATTAATCCGATTGTATTATCGGCCATAGTTTCGAAAATATTCAATTGTGAAAAGAGCCGTGCGTTTTTGCATGGGTCGGTATGACATACCGAGCCCGTACGTGAGGGGTTAACTCAAACTTGATTGAAGTTTGAGCTGACTTAAATTGCAAATGCGTTCTTTGCGAAATCACCCTAAAGGTAATGCCACAATGGATGCAACGCTAGACGCATGCAACGCATGAAATGNTTTTTGCATGGGTCGGTATGACATACCGAGCCCGTACGTGAGGGGTTAACTCAAACTTGATTGAAGTTTGAGCTGACTTAAATTGCAAATGCGTTCTTTGCGAAATCACCCTAAAGGTAATGCCACAATGGATGCAACGCTAGACGCATGCAACGCATGAAATGATTATCCAACTGTTTTCCGAATATTTCTGACAATGACTAGCGTTGCGTATAGCGTGCGCTGCATTCACTGTGGCATGACCCCAGTTATTGAATCTGCGAAGAAACTTTCCTTCTATGGGTATTTCCCCGGAGAAATTACTTATTAACTTCCCGACTCGCAGGGAGGAAGTTATTGTAATGACCCCGAAAATCGAATGTGATATTTCCATGATTTCTTTATATTTCTCGGTCTCTCGAATCATCCTGATACGATTTTGAAGACATGTCTGTGTGTGTGTGTGTANACTAGCGTTGCGTATAGCGTGCGCTGCATTCACTGTGGCATGACCCCAGTTATTGAATCTGCGAAGAAACTTTCCTTCTATGGGTATTTCCCCGGAGAAATTACTTATTAACTTCCCGACTCGCAGGGAGGAAGTTATTGTAATGACCCCGAAAATCGAATGTGATATTTCCATGATTTCTTTATATTTCTCGGTCTCTCGAATCATCCTGATACGATTTTGAAGACATGTCTGTGTGTGTGTGTGTATGTAAGTATGTGACAGAAATTTTGTCCAACGATATCTTGTGACTGAATGGAGCGATTCGAAAATTTCTTTTCTCAATCGATGCGTGTTAATGTAACTTAGAACTGATTAGTTTATGAGAAGAATCCACACAGCGGTTTTTTTAGATATTTGTATAAAACTCCTGAAAAAATGCCAAAAAGCGTTAATTTCATTCAAATTCGACAATTCTCCGTGAAATAACGATGGGATCTGAATCAATTTGGGGAGATTCCGGTTATCGTGGCGCCGCATTTTGACACTTGATTCCCGTAGTATTTTGGACGAGGAACACGGGAAAAATACCGAAAAAATTCTATCTCGAATAATTCTCGACATATCGCACTTACACAGCCCAAAATTGCTGTTTCTTCCGTATATATTTTCGTCTTATTTCTTCAGACGATTTGAATCATAAAAATAGTCATAATATTCATAACCTATTCATCATAAAACCAGTATGAATAAATTAAAACATCAGGAGCAAAGTAATATAAAACACTAAAATGAGAAGAATGAGTTTCACACCAAATTAAGTTTAAAAATATTCCTAGAATTTTGAAGAAAACATGCAATTTTTCTGACAAACTCTTTCGAGAAAAAAAATTTAAAATAATGCAATAATCTATAGAGCGATTTCTTCATTATTATGCCTACATGTAACATAAAATTAAAATTGAATCGTTAATTAATTTTTACCAACTCATATATGATAAATAAATAATGAAAAATGACGAAACTCATCCAGATTTTTTGATAATAACGAAACTCATTTCAGTTTTAGTGATAAAATTTTAAAGACTAAACAGTTTGCAGACTATTTTGGCGTTACCCAGAATGCACCACGTGAAGGTAAAGTCTGCATAGCATTCCGCCCCCCCATCCCAACCCCCTTTCGCTCCCGTGAACATATCCTCACCTCCCCTGTAGGAATTGAGGTTGTTGAGGGACGTAACAATTCACTAACAAATGTAATTAGTATTTAAACTACAGTTTAATCAAGACGTTTAGAATATATATACAAAAGAGAAAGAATAATCAAAGTGATCTAATCGGAGGTCAGTGTTAAATTCTATTGACTATCTTAAATCGCGTAAGACAGGAATTTGGATACGCCATGACAATAGGTGCGAGCGAGAGGTATTTTATACTGGGCGCGTGACAGCGCGATCATATCACCGATGTCCAGTCGTCTCTCAGCGTTGTCGTATCCGTGCGTGTGTTACGCGTTGGTGTGTGTAGCGAGACGCTACATGACTTCCCTGCTTAAGTGAAAAAAGGTAGTTTTTTCAGCACTGCAACAGAAAACAATTAATCTCAGAACAGGTGAAATGNAATTTGGATACGCCATGACAATAGGTGCGAGCGAGAGGTATTTTATACTGGGCGCGTGACAGCGCGATCATATCACCGATGTCCAGTCGTCTCTCAGCGTTGTCGTATCCGTGCGTGTGTTACGCGTTGGTGTGTGTAGCGAGACGCTACATGACTTCCCTGCTTAAGTGAAAAAAGGTAGTTTTTTCAGCACTGCAACAGAAAAAAATTAATCTCAGAACAGGTGAAATGTAATAAGCAGGTGAAAAAAAAATTTTGATGAGGAAATTTAGACAGTATAGACGTGGATCGCCGGTCTGTTCGCGAAGTTTACGCGTCTCCTCGGCCTCTGAGTCCTGTTCGCCGTACTCATGCTCGGCTGCGGCTGATTCTGTTGTTGTTGAGGCTACCAAATGATGAAGTATTTGTCATGACGACTGATTACGCGGCATGGGCCGATGTATGGTGATCGGTATGCCATTCGCACGTGGTCATCGCGGAAAAAAACATGTGTACACGTCGCTAGATCCTTGAAGATGAAGGTTGAACGTGTACCCTGACGTGCAGCGGGAGTCGGTGCGATCCTGCGGAAATGCTCGCGTAGATTTCTCACCAATTCCGGTGCTGCTGCTTGTTGGTTCGATGGGATGAGGAATTCTCCGGGTAGACGGATCGGTTCCCCGTATGTTAGCTCGGCGGGAGTCGTTTGAAGGTCCTCTTTCCACGCGGATCTCAACCCTAGAAGTACCAGGGGAAGTGCGTCGTACCAAGCTTCGCCATGACATCGCAGTGCTGTTTTCAGTTGGCGATGTATTCTCTCAACCATGCCGTTTGATTGAGGATGAAATGGCGTCATCATCAACCTCTCGGTGCTCAGAATTCGCGTAAGCTCCTTGAAGGTGTCTGAGAAGAATTGACCGCCCTGGTCAGATGTAATTCTCAGGGGGATGCCGAAGCGCGCGATCCAGTGATAAAGAATCGCGTTGACTACTGTTGGC